CCCGGTCATTCAACCATTCACAAACATCAACAACCTAACACCTCACAAATTTTTGAGTTTTTTTTTCAGTGTTACAAAACTCAAAGCGATATTATTTTCTTATTATATTCCAACACTATTTCTGGGATTGTTATTTATGTGGGAGCAACTAACAAGTAGGTCAGGAAATATAGGTCCGTCTTCACGCCCGCCAATTTGTCATTATGTTTACCACACATCTACCTAATGTTATTTACACACATGCTTTTGTGTACGTATGTGTACGTGTAGTGTAAACGTTTGTGCATCTGCAGGACTTATATTTACGCACGTTTGCAAGCATTGTGTCTTGTGAGTTAGAGTGTACCTTTGTATTCGTATGTATTTTTTACATTACCTGATTGTGCGCGTCCGCATGGAGAAGTTTCGAAATGCATGTACGAGCGTGCGTTCAAGAAACATCCTAAGTGTTCACAGATATGAGTAACTTTTTTCTGTACATCTGTCTACGAGATTCTGCGCTTTCAAAACGAGATTTTTAACATTCTACGCTCTTATTCATCTCACAGTGCCAACAAAACTTCAAACGTACTAGAAAAATTTTTTCGTTTGTTGCACGTGTTTCGGCGTAGTCATTACATTTTTTAAAAAGTAATAAGCATGTGGTGTTATAATGTTGTGAGCGCTTCGTTCATGTGTAACACACGACAGGGTAAAATTATTTTTTTTTTAATTTGTGGTCTCCTTCTAGTGACAAATTTTTAAACACTTTATTAAAATAAATATTTTTTTATTAATTCCTATAAAATTTCGTTACATTAAAGCCATATTTGTAACAGAGAAGCATAAAAGAAACAAGCTGAATCTCATGCTCACACTAACAACAACAACTGCTGTTGTTGTCTGCCTTCATTCACGTGTTGGAATGAAGATGTTCGCGATTTGTAATCTTTTATTAGGTAGTAGAGGTGATGATGGAACTATGATGACTAAAACGATGAAGAGAACGATGATGGATTGAAGGAAAGAAAATTTTGTCACGACGATGAAGATGATTGCAACTAACGAAATGATGAAGACGTTGAAGGTAATAATGATGGTGGTGATGATAGAAATTAATCTTTAAAAAAATCTCCATCTAACCTGGTGGAACTTGCCTGCTCGCTCAAAATAAAACTTTGAAAATTTTAATTTAAAATTTTGGAAGAGTTATATTAAAATTGTTGCTAATTATTTCTAATGATAATATTAAAAAATGTCAATGCGTATCAATAAAATTAATAGAATATTTAGTTAATTTTTATTATTATTACTATTAAACATTAATCTTATTATTATTACCATGGTTCTGTTAACAGGGCTTATTTCTTGTTCAAAAAATAATGGATTTTTTTGTGGACTTTGTAAACGAACTTAGATACCCGTTGAAATAGTTTATGAAAAGTCAAGAACATTTATGTTAATAAAAAAAAGTTTAAGTATATGTTGAAATAATTGTTGAATATTTTTAAATCAAAATTATACTTACACGTTGGATGACAAAATTAATTTCTGAAGCATTTTTAAGAATCAATTTTATGATTGGATGTCAGAAAATCTTACCTGCCAACACATGAATCATTCGTAAAAAATTATTCTGGCTAGAAAATCAGTGCAAGATGCAAAAAATTCAAACATCATTTTATCGCTGCAAGGTTTTTTAAACTCGTAAAATCGTATTACTTGCGTTCAAATAACCCAAAATCTCAAAATATTAAAAAATCAAAATTTTAATGAACATTTTTCTGACAATTTTTCAAAATGATGAAATTTTCCCTACAAAAACCCCTTAAATAATAATGGAGAATTTGACCGCAGCAGAACCCTGATAAGAAATCAAACAGAAGACGATGGACTTACAATTTATCGCAATTAAAACAAATTATCAACCGTTAACTGCTCCACTTTGCTCAACAGACAAACATTTGTTTGCAAACCTTGCAATAACAACAACTACTTTGTTTTCACACGCGTATATGTGAGTGTATATATATACATATATATATATATATATATATATATATATGTACATATATATAGAAATATATATATATATATAGTATACATGTGCTAGGTTTTGGTGCTCTTTTGATGTTACGAGGAATTTGGTAGTAAAATATAATAAAGCAGTTTTAACGTTATTTTCATAACACGTTGTTACTATGTATGATGTTGCAGAAAAAATAATGAACAACTTGACGGTGATGATGATTATTATGATGATGGTGACTAATTAATGGTTTATGATTGAGATAATGTTAACGATAATGGTGGTTGAAGATGAAGATGTACAAAGACTAGAGCACAATTTTAAAACGTTTTAACATCTAGATCTGCCTTTTATGATGTGATTAAGCTGTAAGGTTTGGCGTTAAGCAGGCTTAAAATATGACATTATGAGAATATATTAATGGAATACGTTGTTAATATTATATATGGTGTATTTTGAATTTCAATTTTCATTACTTGTTGGGTTGAACATCATCCAAATTGTTGATGCACGATTATATATGAGAAGACGTAGACTTAATTTATACTATAATTTATTAGCGATTTACGACATTTTAATAATTTAATTAATTTTAAAATATTTTTCAACATCGAAACAAATTTTTATTACAATGTAATTTGATTGTATTTTTTAATCGTGAAATCAAGAGAGAGTTGAAGAGAGTTGAGAGTTAACTTCAACGGCATTATCAAACTTTCGTGCTAATCACTACCGCATGGTGGAATTAGCCCAACATCGCAACTAATGCCTTCTCTCTCGAGATGATATTCACACTTTAAAAAATTTAAATATTCTTTCTTCATACTCTGGTGCTTTCAACAGTGGCTAGAATTTTGGATAACTTCGCTGATCTAAAACATACAACAACTAAGATTGCTGGTACATCGCCATACTACAATCATATTAATCAGAGATAAACAGCCAAAAAATGTTAAATTTCAAAGAATTAAAAATACAAAATGGTTGATTTTAATGGACGATTCAATTTTGAAACCAGTCTCACTCAAATTTGCATCAATAAATTTCATTTGATGAAACTGCACTGTCCATTTTGAGTTGGCATATTCAGACATCAAAATTGTACCAGAAAAAAAATATGTATATTTCATTAAAATGGTCAATATACGACGATGGCAGTGAAAGCAAACAATAAGACTATGATGGAAATGGAAATGGCAATGATGATGGGGACGCTGACGATGGCAAATATGATGATGCTGTCAATTGTGTTATAACAACCACACTGACATACATGATGTTTCTTTTCCCATAAAACATACAATTTCTATACAATTCTATACAATTTTTTACGCTGATTTCAAATCTAAAAACCACTTTGCTTTATCACATCGCTTTCTAAAGAAAAACGCTTATGACCGGTGTTAAAAATTTATTAGCTCCTGGTGCCAAAATATGCAACTTATATGTGCTACTGAAATGATATCAACAATATCATATAGGGTATATTCCTATCTGTAGCTCATTATGCATACCTTTCAAAAAATGGACCAGACATCGCTGACATCATCGTTAGTAATCATCAGCATTTCATCACCAATTTCGTCATGAACTGTTCCAGGCGTCAGCATCATTTGCATTCTTCCACAAATTCATTCCTACCATCTTCAACATCGTCATCGTTTCCTATTTCACTTTAATTTAATCAACGTGATTGGCAAGTTCGTGAAATATGATTTTCACCACCAATACCACCATCGTCGTCGTCGTCGTCCTCATCACGTCCAAACGACTCAACGCGTTTGAATGTTATTTAAATCTTCGCAATCTCAAAGTAAACATTCTTTCCGCTGTAGACATCCTAGTAACTAAATTATCGTATTTTATTAGCGTTGTTCTTGCCATCATCCTCACTCTCCTATCATCATCTGTAATCACTATTTTCACTATCAATATTATCATTCTCATTACCATCATTGCTATCGACGGTAGCATATTGCCTTATAGCGTATTAACCTTCTTGCGGCCCCAATTTTATAATAATTTAAGAAAATTAATTTCAAATAAAAGTATTATTTCCAATCTTTTTTTTTATTATGTACATTCTTTAATAATATTTGTGTAATGCGTACGATGTTAGTAAAAAAAATGCATTTACAAAAAGTCAATGAAAAAGTTACTTCATCGCTTTACGACGTGTTTTTCTGCGCGCCAACTCATCCATTAAAGTCCAAACCCTGCAAAATTGTTTTTTCAGTGCAGAGTATTGCAGAGAAGTTCAGCCTTCCTTCCGACATTTTGAACGCAAATAAGTTTTAACAAACACGAAAAAGACCACTCAGCCGGACGGTTTGTAACAGGAGTACAAATGATTGGCTGATCGGTTCATCAGAACGAATGACAATTTTTGTTCGATTTTTACCCTTGCTACGTTTTATTTATTGTTTTTGCAAAGCAATTTAATCTGACATACATTCTTTGTACAGAACTTATAAAATTTTGTATGACTATAGTTATTATCATCGTCGCCCCCTTTATTTTGTGTTCATCAATTAAGGAAGACTTTTCCTCACTCATTCATTCATCAACACCACAAATCCCACCAACATCGTCAGTAGTAGTCATAATTTAATAGCGTCTAATGCTAATGCTAATGAATTACTTGCTTTTCATCTTCCCAACAAACGTCAAGCACCTACAACCCCCGACAAACATCATTAACACATCAACGTCTCTCTCGACGATGTGATGACGATGATGTGGAGAATGGAGAAGTGGTAATGAATAAATCGTGGAAAATGAAAATGGATAACAATAATAATGGAAAAACAACTATAGCCACGATGAAAATGATGAGTTATAAAAATGAACATCATCACCGAGCTTACCTTGAAACCACTAGGAGCATAATTGTTTCAAACTGTTTTGGAGCATAATTGTTTCAAATTGTTTTGGAGCATATTTGTTTCAAACTGTTTTTCAATCAACAGAGCAAACCTAAATTAACTTTTCGTCTTTCTTGATGTTTTGCGATGAAATGAAAAATAGAACAGGTGAAGAAGAAGAAAGAAATTTGTGAGTTGTGAATGAGCGGGAGATGAACAAGAGAACAGACACTCGACGATTTATCATCTGTTCATTTTTTCTTCATTTTTATGACTGCATCTGATATCATTTGATTTTTTTTTATTATTTTTGCAAGACAACACAAAAAAATTTTTTTCAATAAATAATTTAACGAAGTCACGTAACAACAAATTAGTATTATTTCACTATTATTACTACTAGCGTTACCTTTGGTCACAAATATGAACTTTTACCAGCTCTGCTATTTATTTCAATTAGCAATCATCTTCAATTTTCTAGTAAAGATTATCACAAAAACATCAGCATCGCAACAATATATTAACTAAATATATTATTATAATGAATGAAGGTCTATTGTCTAAATCATCCTCATTAATACTCTCTATAACAATAACAAGCATCACACACACACACCACACCACACACACACACACACACACACACACATATACATTATCTCTTTGGATTGAATCGGATAAAAATGACCATCCAGACGAAAGAGATGACGACGACGACGAGCATGATCCATATCCACCAACTGCAGCTCTTGCTCATGTGGTACTCCAGGCTGTCACATTCGACCTTCAACTTGCTCACGTTGTCGTCTGCCAGACCATCAGAGGTCAACAGTTGCTGAATAAGGCACGTGTGTGGTTATAAAAATTATGTACTTAACATTTCAATATGCTGATGCTATTGTTGTTATTGGCCATCTATTGCAATCGCGTTGTTGGTGAAGCTGTTGTTGCTAATGGTTAGCACTTAAGATAACATTAATGTAACATTAATTAAAATTAATGAAATAAATACGCTCGGTTAAGCAATTAAAAATGATAACTAGTTATTAATACAGTAAACATCGAAATAACAATAACAAAAACAATAATATCGGCAACAATGTGATAAGAATAACATTAACATCGCATCAAAATCAACAGCAGAGCTTTGATTGCTGGTGCCAGCCAGCATGTTATGAACGAATGATAACATCACTCAACATCACTCCAGATCAGCATTTGTACGCCTCTTATGTTGTGCTATCTTTCTCTCTCTCTTTCTCCTCTCTCTCTCTCTCTCTCTCTCTCTCTCTTTCTCTCTTTCACACACACTACGCACGCACGCAAAGGCGTCATTTGGGGGGAGGCAGGGGTGCCCCCCCAAGAAATCAAAATTATAAATTGCAAACACTATAAAATAAAAATATAAAATTATATAGTTTATTATAATTATATATACAAAATATTGTGCTTTTTGAATTTTTAAATGTCAAGCGCTATACAATTTATTTCATTTGTTCCTACAATAATTCATGTTCTGTTTTAAAAAAAACCGTTGTGTTGTCGCCATATTAACTATCGCGTTCGCTGTTATTAGTGTTATTTTGATTTAGCTGAAAGTCAATTTATATCATTTTTTAAGATAAAGAGTGAAGGTGAGTTTGAATACAAATTGTTTCAGTTTCGTTAATAAATTTGATCAAACTGCTAATCAATAATAAATGATTAAATTAAATTAATTATCAATGATATAAAAAAATATTTTAAATCATCAAGTTGGTAAGTCAAATAACAATAACTATTTTTTCTGGGTATTGTAATAAATTTTATAAAAAGTTTAGATTATATTGTAGAAAGATGTCAGCTGGAAATGAATTACCAAAGAAAAAAATTAAACTTATAAATTATAAAAGTGTTAATTTTAAATTCTTTGTAAAAAGGGTACATATAGGATATATAATTTAGTAATTTTAAAACTTTAAAAATTTTGAAATTTTAAAAACTTTAAAAATGTATAATTTATTACAATGTTGCACTGACAAGACTAGGTAGTCGAAATAGTACTATATGCATACATGTAGATAATGACATCTTCTGTAAATAGGAATTTTGTTAATAGCATTTACAAATGTGAACGTTCAACGTTCATTACGATGTGAACGTTCAATTTTGATGTAATATAAAACTTTAATATAAGCCTTTTTACTTGGCACGATTTCCAAACATCTGTGCCAACGCAATTGCTAGAAACAACAAAAGAATATTATTATATTAGTAGATAGAATGCTTCAATTTATTTAATTTACACAAAAAAAGACTGCCTTTCAAAAATTCAGATACTTATGAATAATTAAAAGCCGGCTTGCTAGAGGTTCACAATATGTCAGAATTCTTTAATAATAAGAGAGAATAGTATAAAAAAATTTTGCAGGTCTCAATAAATCAAAAATTAACTTAGCAGCCTCCAGTGATGAAATGTTTACGATTCACCTGAAGACTGCCTTGCTATTAACCTCGTTTATTCCATTCGTTTTCTTTATTACTCACTTAGTAATTCATTCATTCAATTAATCATTCTTCTATTCCTTCACATGTACACATAAGTGTTTTTTTCATTCAATCGTTCATTCATTCATTCATTCGTTCATCCATTTATCCCTCAGTTTTGCACTCACCCATACTTTCACTGTAGGATATTTCTTTCTTTAAAATTTAGACTAATTGCATCAATCGACACATCATTCACGAGTATTTTCAATCTTTTAACATTTACTCAAAATGCTTACTTAATCATGTGGCTCATTCATTTGCTTAATAATTCAGTCATTCATCCATCCATTCATTCATCAGTTCATCATTCACTCACTCATTCATTAATTCACTAATTGCTTCATTCATCAATTTATTCATTATTCCACTATTCACTCACTCATTCATTCATCCCTTCATTCATCTGTCCATCCCCTTCTCACTTCGGTGTCAGTTCGAACGACCCTGCCAGAGATGGATGCATTCTCTTTGAGGTTTCTAGCAAAGCCTGTCATCTCTTCCGTCAGTTTGGCCTGCAGGTTCTCATGGTGTTTGAGAACTGCATCGTCATCGCCGTCTGCTGACGTCACTCGAATTGACGCTGGAAGCTGACGCTGACGCAATGATGCGAGTGTTGCTGTTGATGTTGGTGTGTTAACATCAATCACTGAAATAGTGGACTGCAGTTGTTGATGATGTTGTGTGATGCTGTTGAAGCGATGAAGTTGTGTGTTGCTGGTAAAGAGATGATGTTGGGTGTTGTTGTTGTTGTTGTGATCAATAATGCAATTAGAAACTCCAATTAATTAGCTACTCAAGTATCTCAGATTAATGAACTTCTGATAAATGTTGTTAGCATTGTTTTAAATCACCACAAACAGGATGAAGTAATTGAAGATACAGCAATTAAACCTCAACTAAATGTTAGTAATAAATTAAATTATTAATTTGAATTAATTAAATATTCAGAATAGATTATCATCACTTATCAATAATAGAAATTTGTGATTAACAACTTGGAATGAACATTCAACTCAGTACATACAGAGAGATTTAGTGCCTAACAAATCAGCTTTCATCTCTTGCAAACATTTCGATTTTGACTTGATGTGCAACTGATGACTGAGGGTGGCCTTTGGAACCTTTGAATCATTCAAGTCGTTAGCATCTGCATTATCGTGGTTCCTGCTGGGCACCAGTTGCTCGACAGCTATTGCCTTTAGTCTGGTGGAAGGCTATCATGATGTAAACCAGCAATCCGTTAAACATAGCATATGGTGCTTGTAAATATAAAATAAGTTAAATAAATTGATTAAGTTCAATAAAAACTTTTAAACCAGTTTTTCTATTTCAATTAATCCTTTAAGGAGTTCGACCCTTCTTGCATAATCAATTAAATCTTCATGCCTAGGTTGGCTGCGTAGTGAAACAATTTGAACAATCAGTCTAGTGAAGAGGTAGGTAATTGAGTTTTGCAACTAAATGTACAAATTGCATGTATGTATGTAGGGTAGGTGACAACACAAACATTCATACTTTGTAGTTATCTTCTTCAACTGACCAAGAAGTTCAACCAAATGCAAGACATACTGAATGAGAAAATTTTGAACAATTGTTCTTTAATTTGAACTTAGTAGTATTAAGTATTATGTTATAGATTGTGCCTGTGTATTACTAAATAATAACTACTATACAATAAGAACTGCACAACTTCATGGAAAGTTGCAAATTAGATAATCAATTAAATTAATTTATAAAAAAATGTTTATTTAGTTAAATTAAAAACAATTAAAAAAATCGACTCTGGAAAGATTGAACTAAATCAAATTTCAACATATATTAAAAAAATGGACTGAAAAGTTAAATAACTAAGTTGTGATACTCAGATACTGATATTGATCATATAGATAGCATATGCATCATGCATATGTGATATACACAGCAGATATGTGCCACTTATAAACATAATAAATTATATTATTATATAATATATATTTATTTAATATTAATCTATTATTAATTATTATTAAAATTTATTAATTAATGATATGACAAATGATTCATTAGAATTAGAACATATCATATCTTCATTTCTAATATTCAAATAGATGTAATTGAAAAGGTGAAAATTTGCTTCTCTCATTCTATTTTAATGGAACAAATTTCAATTAATTATTAAAGCAAAAATATTTAATTTAAAACCACTTTTTCAAATCTCCACTCATAGTTTCCTTGAGTTTCCTTTGCCATCATCTCACAGCGATACAGCAGACGGCGAAAATTAACTTCCGTCCTCGAGTTACTTTCTTGGTTGGCCACAGTCATTAGAAACTTTTTATTTTACAATGAATAAACGGATTTGTAGTTTTAAAAAATAGAATGCGCATTCCGAAATAGCGAACGTTGTTTTGTTTACGTGCACACTTGTTTTGAATTTAAAAGTAACGCTAGATTAAAAGTGAGGTTGTCACGTGAATCACTCGATCCGGAAAATATCGCTACGGCTATCGCACCGATGCGCCCCAAACAAGAACAAAACATTTGGAAACTAATATTTTTACTTCTGATGAAAATATTATTTACAAACAACCCAACAAAAAATTAAAAAAGTTGATAAACAATCATTGAAATAATCATTGACCACATCACCATTGACCATCATCGTACTCTTCACCTTCTTCATAGTCCTCACCTTCTTCCATCATTTCATCACCACCATAATCCGTATCCCCATAATCCTCACTACAAGCAGTATCAAAACCAGTACCATCATCATCATCTTCATCAAAACTTTCTGTGGTTTTCTTCTTTCGACTCTTTTTGGGTCTTCCGTGAACCTGCGACTGGTGATGTAGCACACTTCGCTGATTCTTATAAACCTTACCGCAGAGATTACAACCAAACTGACTCAAAACTGTCATTTGCTTGTTGAAAGAGAAGCCATCCCCAGACTGACACTGTACAACTTCATTTATGGCATTTACATTTCCTCTACCGCCTCCTCTTCCTCCTCCTCCCCTACTCATCATCATTCCCCTCCCACCAATGCCTCTTGAAGACATTCTTCCTCTGGCTACCATCCCTCTTGAACCCCGAGCCCTTGCAGATGGATTACCTGTTGGTGGTCCACTGCTGTTGGGTTGCATGAATTGTTGCTGCAGTTGCTGTGGTTGCTGGATTTGATAACGAGGTTGATGTGGTTGGAAAGATTGGCGTTGCGGTGGTGGTGATGCAAGCCGTTGATTTGGATTCATATTTAACTGTTGTCTGTAATGTTGTTGCTGTTGGAACATTTTTTGCCCAGGAGCTGTCTGAAGAGGTACCAATGCCTGCAAACAATGTCAACATCATCAATTCTTAACATGTCATATAGCATAATTAGTCAGTTTGACAGCATCTTACACTTTTGTCATTTGCATGAAATTATTAAAAACATCAACATCGTCATCATCAATAAACTTAGAAGAACTGACCATGCTCTGACTCTGAGATGCACTTCTCTGCATGACTGGACTTTTCATTCTTTGAGATTGTTGACTCATTGGCTGCTGCTGCCATGACATATGTTGTTGCATTTGTTGCGAATTTTGGAATTTACCTGGAGAATTAATCATTCTAACTTGTTTTTGAGGTGTCGATGGACCTGGTTGTGGTTGTTTCTGCAAGTGTTGTTGCAGTTGTTGTTGAAGTTGAGGACAGCTTTTGTAAAGACTTGCATTACTGTTGTTGTTGTTACTATTATTAATGATTTGTAGCTGCTGCTGATACTGTTGTGGTTGGCATTGTTGTGGGTCCATAGAAACGTCACTTGTTAACGAATGCTGTAAGGTAGGGGTGTTGTTTATGTCATGTCCTTGGTAAGAAGGCTGAGATTGTAACATATTGTAACTCGACTGTGGTTGTTGCTGAAACAGTTGTTGTTGTTGCTGCTGCTGCTGCTGAGTGTGTACTGTAGATTCTTCAGCGAGAGACTGTTCCAAATTCAATTCCAATGTTCTATCCTGGTCTTCATCATCTGAGTTGATGTCAATCACTTCACTTTCCAACAATGGAATGTCTATATCTATATCTTTTATATTAAAAATCAACAGTTTACTATTACTAAACACTTGTACAAATGAATAGTAACAATGTAATAAGTTATTAACATTACAGGATCCAGTGAATTTATCTCTATGCAATCATTTTACTGCTCTCTAGTTAAGAAAATCATCTAAGTGATTAACATCAAGTAGTGCATTTTTTAGGCAAAATCAGATGAAGTATGTCTGAGGCAGATGAAAACTTGTCTATCTACAACTCTTTAGTTGAAAATTAAAAACTTTAAATTCTTACTATCAGTACTGACTCCCAAAAATTATTTTTCAACATTAGCTTTATAATTTCAAACAGATACCTAGCATTGTGATAAAATGTTGAAGTGGCATGGTTGTCATTAGTAATATCAGTTTTATGTGCATGCGGTTACCAGTCATAGTTTTATTATGAAGGACCCGTGAAAAAGGTTAAGCTAAGATAAGAACTGTTACATAATAACAGAGCTTTTATGATGAAATATAATAAAAATAAATAATTTAATCCTATAAAAGATTAGAAAATAAATAAATGTTTATCAGCATTACTTGAACTGGATTTGGTGATAAAGTTGGCTTCCATTTTGACATCAATCAATGGAGGTGGAGAATCTGAAGCAGCATTATTATTTATTGTTCCTCCACTGGTGGATACATTCTCATTTGTAATTTCTGTTTTTGGTGCGACATTTACAACGTCAAAACCAGCATTATTTTCTAACATTATTGTTGGTCCGGAGCATGATTCATTTTCTTCTTTGATTTTCACATCACCGAAAATATTGCCATCAGTAATTGTGGAGTCGGAGTTAGTTGAACCAACAGAGATGGAACCATCACGATTTGAAGATGTTGGCTCGTTGAAAGCACTGGACGACGAGATATAGTTGGTCGATGTTGATGTTGCACTCGTGCTGCTACCATCTTCGTTATTTACTAGCGGCACTGATTTATCGATGTGAATGTAAAACACGTCCACAGAGTCAATCGTTATGCCTACAACCGCTTCGATTTTTACATTTTCTTGATAGTTCAACCCTTTTTCGCACAATTTTAAAATGGTTGACATTATTAGGCCGCCCACGCGCACCTGATCAGGCTTCATTTTAATTTAATTTAATTACTATTGTCACTTTTATTTCAGTTAAATTATGAAACGGCCAAACAAAACAACTTAGACACCGATCGGGTTTTACTAATAGATCAACCCACGCCGCTCAACATCTTCCCGCTTCGTAATTAAAATACGGGCCTCATTTAGAAAACCTAACCCATACATAATAAATCAATAATAAGGGACCGTCCATAAAGGATGTCACGCTTCAAGAGGGAGGGGGTCCAAATATTTGTGATGTTTTGTGACGAGGGGTTAGGGTAATCGCAAGTTTGGCGTCCCTTTTTTTAAATAAACAAAACAATAAATAAATTTTCTTTCATATATATGTGCATAAATGAATATTAAAGTTTTCAAGCGAGCAAATAGCTCATGAATATTAATAAAAGGAGGAGTCAAATGCAGTACATTGATGAAACTACTAGCAATTTTCCAAATCTATTTGTAGCTTTATGTTGAAAAATAAAATAGCCCTTCTAAACAGCTTGTCCCAATTTTCACAGCTCCCATATGATGCATTTTGCCCTTCTATTCAAGGTTTTTTTTTAAACTGCATCTGCAAAATATGTGTTATATAATGCTTTATTTGTGTTATTCACTAAATATCTTTATTTTAGCATAATAAAGTTAGACCAGTCAAACCAATTTTCATCCTACTAAAGAGACTGAATCATGGTGATAGTCTTAAATAAATTTTATTTATTCAATTACAATTAAATTTAATGCAAAAATTATAGATTAATGAAAAATGCATAAAAAATTATTAATATATCTATTTAAATAAAATATGTGCCCGACATGCGTTCATGGTGATGAATAATATTTCTTTTTAATTGTCTGCTAGGGTTCTGTCCATAAAGACTGTCACTCTTTCTTTTTTGCGTGTTTTGCCACCCCCACCCTCTGTTTCAAACCCCGCATGTCACAATTTGTTGATGCCCTCTCTTGAAAATAACCATCTGCTGTGAGCAGTTCAACATTTTTTGTACAAATTACCAATATCGCTCATAACGAATAATATCTACTTGCTATTGATTTTGCCGTTGAAATTGTCTTAACGTTTGTGGAATTATTTTTACTAAAGTAATAAAGGTCAACGTACAGCTTCGTAAACATTCAGTCACCGTTAGTTTATATATACTACCATTACATTGTGATTTTTCGTACTCATTTGAGTTAATTTATTCATTTCGATTGTCTCAAGAATGAAATATTTAATATCATTATTCGTTATCAGTTGTGCTGCTACGTTCGAGGGCATCAGGGCGACGAAATGTTTTGTCTGCTTGTCAACTGCAAAAGAACATCAATGTACGATAGCTCCAATTTGAAGTTTATGAAGTGTTCGGGTATATGAGAGTAAATAGTCACTTGTTGTGTCAAAGTTCAAAGTCTGATTTACGGTTTGCAGACCACATTAAGTATTTATGAAAAACTTAAAATTTACAATGCCGGATTTTTGTCTTATCAAACAACAATTTTAATTTAATAATACTGAATATGTAACGAATAAAATATTCAATTTGTTGATAATTTTTATTTAATAAAAACAATGGACTGTTGGATGGTCTCTAAATAGTAACAACGCAAAAGGTGGTACACAGCACTTCAGATACATTGCACACATGTTCAGAGAAGTTGGTTGCAGTGACACTGAAGACTTCGGGGGCACATATCACAAAACGTGTTACTGCAACTATGACTACTGCAACTTCTGATAACTGTGCATGTGTATTTCGGAAAATATATCCTAAATATAATTAAATAAAAAAATTGATATAAAATGTATACTTAAATCGTAACAAAACACTTTTTGATATAATTTAAATTCTAAAAATCCTTGCGTTTGAATATTTAAACATCAGAAGAATGTGCTGCACAAGCTGGGCGGCCTTTAAATGAGGACCGGCGAGCTAGCTGCCCCGGACTTACACAAGAAAGATTTAAAAAATCCAAATTATGACCAGGTCAGCAACTGAAACGTTTTTATTCTTAAAAAAATAATTTTCTGCTTTATTAGCGAGAGCTACAGTACTTGTAAAAGAACCCAAGTGCTAACTCTGCGAAAGACTATGAAACGAGCAAACAGTCAACAACTTTTTAAAAAACCTAAGATTGCTCTTTGGTTTTTAAAAAGCCAACGCTTTTTCGTTTCATTTCCCTGGGCAAAATGTCAGCAACCAGAAATTACCAAAATTACCAGATTAATTCAAATTACAAACCGGTTAGAAATTGGCAGGCGCTCATTGCATGGTGCTCATCAGAGGGCATGTTTATTATAACAACTAACCATTTAACATCAAATTAGATCAAAAGCATTTTGTTATAGCATAATGGAAATCATTTATTATACGGTAGAAGAACCAAAAACTCAAAATTTGCATGATTTTGCAGACAAATTGTTGAGTGGATTGTAAAGATCGGTCAAAAAAATGATTAGTTGCAATCTGGGATTTCACGTTCATTTCAAAGAAACAAAAACGGACATGTACGGAATAAATAATAATCCAATTGCAAAATGACCAACTTGAAACAGTGCTGGTGTGATAACAATGAAAATTTTAAAAAAGTATGAAAGAAGAATAAAAAATTAATAAACTAAAAAAAAGAGAACCATATCGACAGAATCAATTAATAAAAAGGCATTACATACCACAAAAAATCCGTTAGAAACTGACAGGCGTTCATATGCATGGTGTACAAAAAGTTAAATTTTATTACAACAACTCAATAATTAGCAGCCAATCAGATAAAACGAGTTCCATTAAAACTTTATTAGAGATAGCGTATTATTTGATGCAAAGGTAACAATGAATTACTTAGCTTCTTCGTAACATAACACCAATAAGCAACCAACTATAAGACAAGATTTTTATTTCAACTAACTTTGAAACAGCCAGACCAGAAATTAACAAAGTGAAACTATTAGAAGCAATCGAATGTAAAAACGTTTAACAACAATTTCTAATAAAAATGATATTTAAATTGCAAGTCAGTTAGAAATTGACACGCGCTCATTTGCATGTTGCTCAAGAGATGGCATGTTTATTATAACTAACCAATTACCGACCAATCAGATCAAACGGTTTTAATTACAACTTTATTAGAGTTAACGGGAAGACTCAACTTTGCTTTTATTGGAAATGAAGACTTCAAGTTTCGTTCTAACAATGGATCTAAGGAATACGGGACATACTTGAGCAGAGGAACAAAGCAGGTTGTACCGGGCAGGAGGTATTGAATCTTAACGAGCCAACCTATAAATACTCCATCAGATAACTACTGAATTGAATGCTCAGCGTGTGGTACATTGCATCCTCAGCACAACAAATTTGTATGAATCAAAAATATTATAGTGATTACAAAATTTAACAAAATATTCATTAGTAAACTCTAAAAATTAAAAGCAAATTGGAACAATTGTACAAAATATATGCAATAGAACAAATTTTATCCTATTGAAAAAAAATTATATTTTTGTAAAAACTGGTTTAAAATCCAAAAATTCTTTTTTAATCTGCTCCTAAAAATCGATTCAAATATATAATAAACTAAGTGAAAAGTCATGCAAAACACAAATAATATAAGTGAACCATCAATGACCAACAACAATTTACAAATGTTGATCAACAATTCACCAATGTTGAACAACAACCCACAAATGTTGTACAACAGATCACACCCAAATGTCAACATGAACATATACAACATCAACATGTTCAACAACTCCTGGCCACAAACAACTCCAGCCTGGCAACGCAACAACATGCTTCAACATTCATTCCAACATCCAGCTTCCAACAATCCAGAATGCATGAGAAACACACATCAATCAATAGACAGTGGTTACTACGACAACTCATCCACCTTCCAACAACAAACACCAACAACATCAAGAAATTGTTCATTAATGCCCATGCATTTCTCAACAATGTTTCATCCTCAATTCACCTCCACACCACAACAACACAGAACATTCCGCGACAACAACGACAAACTTCAACCCTACAATCAGCTGATGAATTATAACACGAATCCACCTTCCAACATGCACCATCAAGCACCTCAATCACACCTCACACCACACCACTCTGTACAACATTCCAACTCACTTGATGATAGTGGGCTGATGATGAGTTCAACACAAAATCGACAACACCACCAACAACAGCAACAACATCACAAACAACGACATCAACAACAACACAACCAAATAGATGATCAACAACATAACGCAACAGACAAGCAGACGGAGAACACACGTGTCTGCAGCAATTGTGGCACAACAAGCACACCCATGTGGCGCAGAGATTCGGAGGGAAGATGCATCTGCAACGCTTGTGGTTTGTACGAGAAAGCCAACAACGGCCAGAAAAGAAGTTTGAGACAGGTCAGAGGAAAAGCCCCCTACAAAAGACCCAATCAAGTTTGCTCCAACTGTTCTATCAGGTCCACCACCATGTGGCGCAAAACGGAGAACGGAGAAGTAGTTTGTAATGCTTGCGGACTCTACTACAAGTTATATCAAAAACATCGTCCATTGGAGCTGAAGAGGGAAAAGATCCAAACGAGAAAGAGACCATTGAAAAAAATGAAGACCAGGAATGAAGGCGTTGATGATCCAACTCAGCAGGCAACTACACAACAAACCACATCAACGAATAATTCATTACTTCAACAAATTGCATCAGACAACAATTTAACCAACACAACACAACCAACAACAAATCAACATCTCTTTGCATCCAATCAACCAACTGCTTACAACTCATATCTGCCACCAAACACATTCCCATCAGAAACATCGCATGCAAGCCATCATCTGACACAACAACATCCAGCACAACACAACACAAAACATACAATGCAACATGCATCAGAACATTCAAATGAAACCAACAACAGCGCACATAATTCACACCATCATCCATTAAATACATTAACTTCATTCCAGCATTTTGCAGGTGCTCCACTGGATTCGACGAACTCTGATGAAGATGTCCTCAACAATCAGTGCTGCTTGTTCAATGCTACTCAAAATGCGGTCAACGACGAATTCTAAAAAGAAGCAATTTAGCAGACTTAAATTTTTGTTAATTGTTAAAATTGTTGCATGTTTTGTTTTGACATTTTTTTGAAATATTTTTCAATAATTTTTTTTTTAGTTATTTTATATACATATTTTTTCATTTATGCTAACTCATTTTAACACATTTTACTCAACTTTTCAGAAAATAAATTTGTAACATTTTTTCAAAAACTATTTTTGACCTTGGTATTATAGCTCAATAAACATGTTAATATGGCAAAAAACATTTTTGCTCATAAAATAAGTTGAATTTAACGTACACCTCTATCATACAGCTTATGTAATGAAGCGATAAACAAATGTAGAAAGTAATAATAAATTCAATATTAAAATATGAAATTTAAAAAAATCCACTAAAAGGTCTTGTACAATCTCACAATCTAAATAAACATTTTTATGTGCAAGATCGTATATCAATGCTGTTGGAGTTCCCAAAATTTCATGAATAAAATAACGTTTCAAAATATCTGCTTGTAGATCAATTAAGTTGTTTCGATTGTTAAACTAATTTTGTTACAGTGTCAAATATCTCAGAAGAATTTAGTATATACAAAATAAAAAATGAAAAGTCTTAGTTTGTTTATTTTTTTTGCAATGCAACAATGTCAAACGTAGAGCTGCTTCGTGTTTTTTATGCTAATTAATTAAACTTTTTTTCCACAAATGCTGTACTATCTCCACTAGACGTCCCACTTAATATTACGTATGAACGATCAAGCACAACCAGCACAAAGCAAAAAGAGTGAGAACAACACTGGATACAAATCACTTGGTGACTATAGAACGCGTGCGTATGAGAACTCCAACGAGCATGGAGTCTCGTACCAAATCCACTTTGAGAACTTAAGACGCTCCCGAAAATATGTCAATGAGCATAGAATCACGAATTAAGTCTCTTATATACTAGAAAGGCACCGATTGCTCGGGCACCAGTCAACAAACAACCACTTTTTTTGAAGATAAAAACCCTATATCAAAGCAAACTTAGATTTTGTTTAGGGTGTTTGTAAACATAAAAATTTCTCAAAGTGGTATGTATGTTAAATTAATCAAAAAAACTACTAATTCATTTTTTAAAATAATTTGTAATAATTTATAACTTCGTTTAAATTGCAAAAACTTCATCCTAAAAAAATCGTCTAGCCACCTCTTCAGCTCCAATGGACGATGTTTTTGATATAACTTGTAGTAGAGTCCGCAAGCATTACAAACTTCTTCTCCGTTCTCCGTTTTGCGCCACATGGTGGTGGACCTGGTAGAACAGTTGGAGCAAACTTGATTGGGTCTTTTGTAGGGGGCTTTTCCTCTGGTCTGTCTCAAACTTCTTTTCTGGCCGTTGTTGGCTCTCTCGTACAAACCACAAGCGTTGCAGATGCATCTTCCCTCCGAATCTCTGCGCCACATGGGTGTGCTTGTTGTGCCACAATTGCTGCAGACACGTGTGTTCTCCGTCTGCTTGTCTGTTGCGTTATGTTGTTGATCATCTATTTGGTTGTGTTGTTGTTGATGTCGTTGTTTGTGATGTTGTTGCTGTTGTTGGTGGTGTTGTCGATTTTGTGTTGAACTCATCATCAGCCCACTATCATCAAGTGAGTTGGAATGTTGTACAGAGTGGTGTGGTGTGAGGTATGATTGAGGTGCTTGATGGTGCATGTTGGAAGGTGGATTCGTGTTATAATTCATCAGCTGATTGTAGGGTTGAAGTTTGTCGTTGTTGTCGCGGAATGGTCTGTGTTGTTGTGGTGTGGAGGTGAATTGAGGATGAAACATTGTTGAGAAATGCATGGGCATTAATGAACGATTTCTTGATGTTGTTGGTGTTTGTTGTGGAAGGTGGATGATTTGTCGTAGTAACCACTGTCCATTGATTGATGTGTGTTTCTCATGCATGCTGGATTGTTGTAAGCTGGATGTTGGAATGAATGTTGAAGCATGTTGTTGTGTTGCCAGGCTGGAGTTGTTTGTGGCCAGGAGTTGTTGAACATGTTATTTGTCAGATGTCAATTCCAATCATTTTTGTAAAAGCAGTATTAGTTTTTAATTGACAATGTAAAAATTTTAGTTAGCCTAATTTTGTTTAATGCAATTATGATCACTCAGAAATTACTTTCTTGCTGAGCAATTTGTTTTTTTTATATTTTGTGAACGATCTTATCTAACTGCGTAACTTTATCTATACTCAGCAACTTCATTAATTATGTTTATTAACAACTTCAATGTACTCTAAAAATGCTTCATAATTAAGTAATGTTGAAAAATCTTTTTATAGCAACTCAACTATAAAAATGACTTGACCGTAAATTATTTCGCTGATGTACTATGATAACAGGTGCCTAGAAGTAAACCTAACTAATGATGTTGCAAAACGTACTAAAACGTATGGGACAAATTATTCATAAGATATATGACAATGTACAGTAGTGACCAGAGATAAAAAAAAGGAATATCCTTCCCTAAATCCGTGTAAAAATCTGACTCCGTTTCCGGGTTTTGAGTCTAAGAAAAGTGTTTAACTATCACTATTAGTCATTTAAGGTTAAAGTTTCTAAAAAAAACCCACATAAAATCAGTCACTCAGTATTAGTAAATTGTTTAGATTTTAAAACATACTGAAAACAATTATTTGTGATTTTATTGATATCACAGTATCAGCAATTATTTTCTGTATTAAAAATGATGGCTTATCGCTGAAAGACAATCTTGAAAAATATTTTTAGAACAAAGAGTCGGAGTTGAAAAATATCCGACACCGAGCTCCAACCAAAATTTTCGACCGACCTCGACGACACTCTGCACTCTGGTAGTAGTGACTCTCAAGCAAATGGTTAGATATAGTCAAAAAAAATGCATCAACGGTAACGTTTGAAAAAAAAAAAATTTAATTCGAAGTAAAATTTCTAACAAAAGACACTTCCCCAAATTTTGTCTAGACCCATTTATTCGACAAAGAGATGTGTTGATAACTAGTTTGTTGCTGTTGCATTATGAAATGTTTAGAGCTTCTATGATTCCGCATATTACATTTGTATATGAATTGTAAGTTACATTGTACAAGTTGTTTGCAGCTTTAGATTTTAATTATTTTTCAGAAAATTGTTAAGATAAATTACAATTTTTGTACTACGTTAAACTGTTTGATGGAGTATTTCGACGATTTCTGTTAACTCCATCAACAGCATGTTTAATAGGATCATTAAGAAAAAATTTAAAATAAATTCTGAAGATATGTATATTACAATTTTATTGACAAAAATCTTTTAAAATTTGATAAAATAAGTTACAATAGATGAAAATATTCAAAAGTTTCAAAACAACAAAAAAATTTAGAAACAAAATAAAAATAAATAAAATCAATTATGGATGAAATATGTAACATTTAGAAAAACAAAATATTGAAATCATGTCAATTGGTTTCTTTTTAAAACTGGTTGTTATCCGCATTTTGATTAGCACTGGAAAGGCAGCACTGATAGTTGAAGATATCTTCATCAAAGTTCGTCGTGTCCAGTGAGGTACCTGCAAAATGCTGGAATGAAGTTAATGTATTTAATGGATGATGGTGTGAATTATGTGCGCTGTTGTTGGCTTCATTTGAATGTTCTGATGCATGTTGCATTGTATGTTTTGTGTTGTGTTGTGCTGGATGTTGTTGTGTCAGATGATGGCTTGCATGCGATGTTTCTGATGGGAATGTGTTTGGTGGCAGATATGAGTTGTAAGCAGTTGGTTGATTGGATGGAAAGAGATGTTGATTTGTTGTTGGTTGTGTTGTGTTGGTTGAAGTGTAGTCTGATGCAATTTGTTGAAGTAATGAATTATTCGTTGATGTGGTTTGTTGTGTAGTTGCCTGCTGAGTTGGATCATCAACGTCTTCATTCCTGATCCTCATTTTTTTCAATGGTCTCTTTCTCGTTTGGATTTTTTCCCTCTTCAGCTCCAATGGACGATGTTTTTGATACGACTTGTAGTAGAGTCCGCAAGCATTACAAACCACTTCTCCATTCTTCGTTTTGCGCCACATGGTGGTGGACCTGGTAGAACAGTTGGAGCAAACTTGATTGGGTCTTTTGTAGGGGGCTTTTCCTCTGGCCTGTCTCAAACTTCTTTTCTGGCCGTTGTTGGCTCTCTCGTACAAACCACAAGCGTTGCAGATGCATCTTCCCTCCGAATCTCTGCGCCACATGGGTGTGCTTGTTGTGCCACAATTGCTGCAGGCACGTGTGTTCTCCGTCTGCTTGTCTGTTGCGTTATGTTGTTGATAAACTATTTTGTTGTGTTTTTGTTGGTGATGTTGTTGTTGTTGCTGCTGATTTTGTGTTGAACTCATCGTCAGCCCACTATCATCAATTGAGTTAAAATGTTGTACAGAGTGGTGGGGTGTGAGGTGTGAATGAGGTGCTTGATGGTGCATGTTGGAAGGTGGATTCGTGTTATAATTCATCAGCTGATTGTAGGGTTGAAGTTTGTCGTTGTTGTCGCGGAATGGTCTGTGTTGTTGTGGTGTGGAGGTGAATTGAGGATGAAACATTGTTGAGGAATGCATGGGCATTAATGAACGATTTCTTGATGTTGTTGGTGTTTGTTGTTGGAAGGTGGATGAGTTGTCGTAGTAACCACTGTCTATTGATTGATGTGTGTTTCTCATGCATTCTGGATTGTTGGAAGCTGGATGTTGGTATGAATGTTGAAGCATGTTGTTGCGTTGCCAGGCTGGAGTTGTTTGTGGCCAGGAGTTGTTGAACATGTTGATGTTGTATATGTTCATGTTGACATTTGGGTGTGATCTGTTGTACAACATTTGTGGGTTGTTGTTCAACATTGGTGAATTGTTGATCAACATTTGTAAATTGTTGTTGGTCATTGATGGTTCACTTATATTATTTGTGTTTTGCATGACTTTTCACTTAGTTTATTATATATTTGATTCGATTTTTAGGAACAGATTAAAAAAGAATTTTTGGATTTTAAACCAGTTTTTACAAAAATATAATTTTTTTTCAATAGGATAAAATTTGTTCTATTGCATATATTTTGTACAATTGTTCCAATTTGCTTTTAATTTTTAGAGTTTACTAATGAATATTTTGTTAAATTTTGTAATCACTATAATATTTTTGATTCATACAAATTTGTTGTGCTGAGGATGCAATGTACCACACGCTGAGCATTTAATGTTCCAGTAGTTATCTGATGGAGTATTTATAGGTTGGCTCGTTAAGATTCAATACCTCCTGCCCGGTACAACCTGCTTTGTTCCTCTGCTCAAGTATGTCCCGTATTCCTTAGATCCATTGTTAGAACGAAACTTGAAGTCTTCATTTCCAATAAAAGCAAAGTTGAGTCTTCCCGTTAACTCTAATAAAGTTGTAATTAAAACCGTTTGATCTGATTGGTCGGTAATTGGTTAGTTATAATAAACATGCCATCTCTTGAGCAACATGCAAATGAGCGCGTGTCAATTTCTAACTGACTTGCAATTTAAATATCATTTTTATTAGAAATTGTTGTTAAACGTTTTTACATTCGATTGCTTCTAATAGTTTCACTTTGTTAATTTCTGGTCTGGCTGTTTCAAAGTTAGTTGAAATAAAAATCTTGTCTTATAGTTGGTTGCTTATTGGTGTTATGTTACAAAGAGGCTGAGTAACATGCAAATGAACGCGTGCCAGTTTATAACGGATTAGTAGTTTTTTGAAATTCACTAGTACATTTTTGTTAAAAGTCTTTCGTTCTTTAAAGTTCATTTCACAGAACTTTTGTAAGTTCTTACATTTTATTCAAATTTTGTTTTTTATTTTGAAGTAACAACATCACGTTTTGAAAAATTATATAACAATTTTGTTTAATGCAATTTCTTTCTTTTATTTTTTTTTTAATAAAATAATTGTTTTAAATTAGTAATTTTCTTCTGTATTTTTAAATTTCATCATACTGATGCTTTGCATATTCTTAAGTGTGGCCTTTTCAAAAGAATTTTCAGCTATCGCATTATATAATATTCTTACATTTACTTGAGTCTATATATTAAACACTAATTTTCTAAACATATTTTCATCTTTAATCAATGATCCTTCTGATGATCTCATATCAAGCTCGACAATTAAATTTATTTCTCCATATTCTTTGTGTGATCATGCAAATGTTTTTTATTTTCTTAATGTCCAATCAGTTCAACTAACTTATAGCCATCCAGTTAAATATATAATTTATAATTATTTTCATCTCGGTGATGCTTACATCATAATTAATTCATACTCCTATCAACATGGTTTGTACTCAAAATTTTATCAACCCTCTTTCGATCTACCTCAAACTGAATGGACGATGCTTAGATTTTAAGCCAGTTGTCTGTGGAGTTCTTGAGGAACACCCAGTTCCTCTTGTTTCTAATACGCACGAATGATAATACAACAGTCAATGAAAACATATTGTTTTTTGCTGATGTGGCTAAGATCTTTGAAATTATAAGTAACAGACAAGACAGGGAGAGGATGGTTCAAGAAATGAAAGTTGAGAGTCAAGCTGCATACAGAAGTGGCAATTAACTGGCGTTCACGGTGCAAGACATTTACTTTCTACAAAAGAAACATTTTCAGACTTGGAAGTAACTAATGATTTCAACCTCCAATTCAAAGATCACATATTGACTAGAAATAAAAAAATGACTATGTTTGGAATCATTGCAAGAAATTTCAAACATCTAACTGGAGTTTAGTTTTCAAGTTTTCATCAAGAACTCCCCTGTGTTCATTAAGAACTCTACTGACAACTGGCTTAAAATATGAGCATCGTTCATTCAGTTTGGGATAAATCAAATAAGTGCTAACAGAATTTTGAGGTCCGTACAGATTGGGAATCATTAAAGAATTTGAAAAAGTTTAAATAATAGCATAAAAAAAACTGAAGTCATGCCAGTACTTAATTTTGACTGTGGGAGAACTACAAGTATATACAGTTCATCGAGCACCGTCACTTTGACTAATTTTTTCAATCACTATACTCTACAAAACGATACAGTATATGGAGTTTGCCAATTACAGTACACTAAAAATTACAAAATAAAACACACATTCAGTTTTTAATGTTTACAAATCACAATACAAAATACAACACACATTTAGTTTCAAAAGTCAATAGATTATTAAAGTACATTGTTTGTAATCAGTCTCATTTCTTTGTTCATATTCACGCTCAGTTACACACATTCATACATGTTCACACACGCTTGCACCCCTCCTCATTCACATTAACATGCAGTTTATTTTTTTTACAATGATACTAAAAAATGCGATTTCAGTTGCTCTTTGAAATTCGACAGTGATGTGCGTTGATACTTAAAGCCTTCTTTTGAAATATGGTTCCAGATTCTCTGTCTCCTGAAGATGGCATGACGATACAGAAGATCGGTTTTGAAATCATTTGCTGAAATGTAATTTGTTCTTTCTTCGTTTTTGTTTACTTTATAATAGTCGTAAAATATTGCTGGTAATTTATTATTTAATTGCTTGAATACAACTATTGAGACCAACAACGGGTTCGATTATTTAAAAATTAATTGATCAAAACAACAGTTCTGCAGGCGCTTCATAATTTGATTTTCCTCTTCATCATCAATCCCTCGAAAAAATCTAAAGGAAGACATATTTTCAAGTAGCGCATCGTACAAAACGAATTAACATAAGTTCAGCTAAAAATGAACAAAAGATGGAAAATGTATTTGAAGGCATAGTTTAAGTATTTTCGATTATGTTATGTAAAATGGAAAAAATCTTTATCATTTGTATATTTATCTATTTATGTTAGGGACAATGTTGATTGATTTTCTCTTTGTTATGTTGATTTTATTGAAATGGGCGTAGGGACTCTATTGGTTTTCGGTCATTTTTTTCTCATTAATAATAGAAACTCGTTTATTACAGGAAATCAATGATATAAAATCTAAAAATAAAATAAGTATGGTCATTGTCAAATAATTAAATGCACAATAAAACCCTTAATCATTATCTATGATAAATGTACTTAGGTTGTTGCGTGATTCTTTTGATACAAGAAACAACATGTAAGAATGTTTATAACGTATTTTATTTACGTAATACTCAAATAAACAAAAATGTGTTCGGCTTCGCAGCTCTAACTTAAATTGCGAGGGAATGAGTCTTCTCAAGATTTGTAGCTTCATTTGCGTAGAAACATCTAGTTTGGTCGTAAGTCTCAAGAGACATGTTAATTTAGAAATCTCCTCTTTAGTTTTTGTGTCCTTTAGTTCTAAATCATAGACTTATCCCAAGTAATTAAATTCCCGACCCCTTTCTGGGTGTGTTCCGCCAGACCATCGATTGTTGGGTAGAATCCTTTTTGTGTGTTTGTTTTGTGCAGAAAATCGAACAGTTTGCTTTTTTAGTAAAGTTGAGAAAATTTTGTACAGCATTGGCTGGGGCGAATATTAGTCAGATTATTTTATGATGTGGTTACTAAAATTGAAAAAAAAATAACCAAACCTATATTTTCTAATGTACAAGTGCCTAAGAAATCATTTTTTCAATTGAAGCTTTTTTTAATTTTTAATGATTTTCAGTGTTGGAGTCCAATGAAAAAATTCCCACTCAAACTCTTCAACAAATTCTGACTTAGACACAAACTAATGCGGCTCTCACATCAAGTACAAAAAGGATAGTATTGTGTGGTTGTTATTGACTAAAACAATTCACGGGAACCTACACCAAGTAAAACCTCAGAAATGTGGAAACGACGACTGTATCGAGGCTGGAATAGCTGTAAAATTATGTTGATGGACCAATGTTGAAACGATTCTTATTAAAACTTCTTCAACGAGTACAGATGGAAATAGCAGATTTGGTTGAAATATATTTTTGAAGAGGTGAATTTTTTAAAAACAAAACAACAGCTTTTTGTACGAATTTGTGGATTAAAGATAAAGATGTTGATTTGGTCAACGAGTAAGCTCAGTAGCTAGGCTAGATGCGCAATGTCTAGCGCTACCATTACGTGATAGCAGTTCGAATAATATCAGAGACTATCATACGCGTATGATGCGATGCTTGATCGTTCATACGTAATGTTAAGTGGGACGTCTAGTGGGGATAGTACAGCATTTGTGGAAAAAAAATTTAATTAATTAGCATAAAAAACACGAAGCAGCTCTACGTTTGACATTGTTGCATTGCAAAAAAAATAAACAAACTAAGACTTTTCATTTTTTATTTTGTATATACTAAATTCTTCTGAGATATTTAACACTGTAACAAAATTAGTTTAACAATCGAAACAACTTAATTGATCTACAAGCAGATATTTTGAAACGTTATTTTATTCATGAAATTTTGGGAACTCCAACAGCATTGATATACGATCTCGCACATAAAAATGTTTATTTAGATTGTGAGATTGTACAAGACCTTTTAGTGGATTTTTTTAAATTTCATATCTTAATATTGAATTTATTATTACTTTCTACATTTGTTTATCGCTTCATTACATAAGCTGTATGATAGAGGTGTACGTTAAATTCAACTTATTTTATGAGCAAAAATGTTTTTTGCCATATTAACATGTTTATTGAGCTATAATACCAAGGTCAAAAATAGTTTTTGAAAAAATGTTACAAATTTATTTTCTGAAAAGTTGAGTAAAATGTGTTAAAATGAGTTAGCATAAATGAAAAAAATATGTATATAAAATAACTAAAAAAAAATGATTAAAAAATATTTCAAAAAAATGTCAAAACAAAACATGCAACAATTTTAACAATTAACAAAAATTTAAGTCTGCTAAATTGCTTCTTTTTAGAATTCGTCGTTGACCGCATTTTGAGTAGCATTGAACAAGCAGCACTGATTGTTGAGGACATCTTCATCAGAGTTCGTCGAATCCAGTGGAGCACCTGCAAAATGCTGGAATGAAGTTAATGTATTTAATGGATGATGGTGTGAATTATGTGCGCTGTTGTTGGTTTCATTTGAATGTTCTGATGCATGTTGCATTGTATGTTTTGTGTTGTGTTGTGCTGGATGTTGTTGTGTCAGATGATGGCTTGCATGCGATGTTTCTGATGGGAATGTGTTTGGTGGCAGATATGAGTTGTAAGCAGTTGGTTGATTGGATGCAAAGAGATGTTGATTTGTTGTTGGTTGTGTTGTGTTGGTTGAATTGTTGTCTGATGCAATTTGTTGAAGTAATGAATTATTCGTTGATGTGGTTTGTTGTGTAGTTGCCTGCTGAGTTGGATCATCAACGTCTTCATTCCTGGTCTTCATTTTTTTCAATGGTCTCTTTCTCGTTTGGATCTTTTCCCTCTTCAGCTCCAATGGACGATGTTTTTGATATAACTTGTAGTAGAGTCCGCAAGCATTACAAACTACTTCTCCGTTCTCCGTTTTGCGCCACATGGTGGTGGACCTGGTAGAACAGTTGGAGCAAACTTGATTGGGTCTTTTGTAGGGGGCTTTTCCTCTGGCCTGTCTCAAACTTCTTTTCTGGCCGTTGTTGGCTCTCTCGTACAAACCACAAGCGTTGCAGATGCATCTTCCCTCCGAATCTCTGCGCCACATGGGTGTGCTTGTTGTGCCACAATTGCTGCAGACACGTGTGTTCTCCGTCTGCTTGTCTGTTGCGTTATGTTGTTGATCATCTATTTGGTTGTGTTGTTGTTGATGTCGTTGTTTGTGATGTTGTTGCTGTTGTTGGTGGTGTTGTCGATTTTGTGTTGAACTCATCGTCAGCCCACTATCATCAATTGAGTTAAAATGTTGTACAGAGTGGTGGGGTGTGAGGTGTGAATGAGGTGCTTGATGGTGCATGTTGGAAGGTGGATTCGTGTTATAATTCATCAGCTGATTGTAGGGTTGAAGTTTGTCGTTGTTGTCGCGGAATGGTCTGTGTTGTTGTGGTGTGGAGGTGAATTGAGGATGAAACATTGTTGAGGAATGCATGGGCATTAATGAACGATTTCTTGATGTTGTTGGTGTTTGTTGTTGGAAGGTGGATGAGTTGTCGTAGTAACCACTGTCCATTGATTGATGTGTGTTTCTCATGCATTCTGGATTGTTGGAAGCTGGATGTTGGTATGAATGTTGAAGCATGTTGTTGCGTTGCCAGGCTGGAGTTGTTTGTGGCCAGGAGTTGTTGAACATGTTGATGTTGTACATGTTCACGTTGACATTTGGGTGTGATATGTTGTACAACATTTGTGGGTTGTTGTTCAACATTGGTGAATTGTTGATCAACATTTGTAAATTGTTGTTGGTCATTGATGGTTCACTTATATTATTTGTGTTTTGCATGACTTTTCACTTAGTTTATTATATATTTGAATCGATTTTTAGGAGCAGATTAAAAAAGAATTTTTGGATTTTAAACCAGTTTTTACAAAAATATATTTTTTTTCAATAGGATAAAATTTGTTCTATTGCATATATTTTGTACAATTGTTCCAATTTGCTTTTAATTTTTAGAGTTTACTAATTAATATTTTTTTAAATTTTGTAATCACTATAATATTTTTGATTCATACAAATTTGTTGTGCTGAGGATGCAATGTACCACACGCTGAGCATTCAATGTTCCAGTAGTTATCTGATGGAGTATTTATAGGTTGGCTCGTTAAGATTCAATACCTCCTGCCCGGTACAACCTGCTTTGTTCCTCTGCTCAAGTATGTCCCGTATTCCTTAGATCCATTGTTAGAACGAAACTTGAAGTCTTCATTTCCAATAAAAGCAAAGTTGAGTCTTCCCGTTAACTCTAATAAAGTTGTAATTAAAACCGTTTGATCTGATTGGTCGGTAATTGGTTAGTTATAATAAACATGCCATCTCTTGAGCAACATGCAAATGAGCGCGTGTCAATTTCTAACTGACTTGCAATTTAAATATCATTTTTATTAGAAATTGTTGTTAAACGTTTTTACATTCGATTGCTTCTAATAGTTTCACTTTGTTAATTTCTGGTCTGGCTGTTTCAAAGTTAGTTGAAATAAAAATCTTGTCTTATAGTTGGTTGCTTATTGGTGTTATGTTACAAAGAGGCTGAGTAACATGCAAATGAACGCGTGCCAGTTTATAACGGATTAGTAGTTTTTTGAAATTCACTAGTACATTTTTATTAAAAGGCTTTCGTTTTTTAAAGTTCATTTCACAGATCTTTTGTACGTTCTTACATTTTATTCAAATTTTGTTTTTTAATTTGAAGTAACAACATCACGTTTTGAAAAATTATATAACAATTTTGTTTAATGCAATTTCTTTCTTTTATTTTTTTTTTAATAAAATAATTGTTTTAAATTAGTAATTTTCTTCTGTATTTTTAAATTTCATCATACTGATGCTTCGCATATTCTTAAGTGTGGCCTTTTCAAAAGAATTTTCAGCTATCGCATTATATAATATTCTTAATTTTACTTGAGTCTATATATTAAACACTAATTTTCTAAACATATTTTCATCTTTAATCAATGATCCTTCTGATGATCTCATATCAAGCTCGACAATTAAATTTATTTCTCCATATTCTTTGTGTGATCATGCAAATATTTTTTATTTTCTTAATGTCCAATCAGTTCAACTAACTTAAAGCCATCCAGTTAAATATATAATTTATAATTATTTTCATCTCGGTGATGCTTACATTATAATTAATTCATACTCCTATCAACATGGTTTGTACTCAAAATTTTATCAACCCTCTTTCGATCTACCTCAAACTGAATGGACGATGCTTAGATTTTAAGCCAGTTGTCTGTGGAGTTCTTGAGGAACACCCAGTTCCTCTTGTTTCTAATACGCACGAATGATAATACAACAGTCAATGAAAACATATTGTTTTCTGCTGATGTGGCTAAGATCTATGAAATTATAAGTAACAGACAAGACAGGGAGAGGATGGTTCGAGAAATGAAAGTTGAGAGTCAACATCGACAAATGTGATCTATTACCTGTAGGCAAACATGCAGAAGTGGCAAATTTTAATTTCAGACTTGGATGTAACTATGATTTTTTTAATTTGTTTTTGTATTGACTCGGATGAGACTGCTTTATATTTTATTTGTGGGCTAGGAATTTGTCCAAACCGTTTTCCTTAAACAAATAGAATAAAAAGATGTTTTTCAAACCGTTACCTAACTTTTCGTATTACATCGATCGTTACATATTATAAAATGTAAGAATAATAACATTAATCAAGTCGTAAAGATATCTTTGGTAACAAAATGTTCGAAGTTTTCTCAAATCTTTGGATGTATGAAAATGCTAGAAGTGTATCTCAATTCATTTATTTATCAAATTAAATTAAACTAATCAATAAAAATAAATGATAGAATAAAAAAAATGAATTGAATAATCTAGTGATAGACCATCGGTGGACAATTTAAAATAAATCCCAAGGCAATAATATAATAACAGTAACATATAATTATATCATTTTTGTATATATACACATATATTATTATTATTATTATTGGTGTGTTTATAAGCACCCTTAAAATAGATCTCAGAGGCGCTAACGATTATTGCAGTACATTTCGTAGCACATTCAATGCAATGAATGGAGACAAAAAGACATTAGCACGAGTAAGCTTGGACAAAATGATGGTTTTTCAACCTTTTACGAAATTGAATAACAGACAGCCCAGGATTACGAAGGTCCCTATGCAAACCATTCCATACAGCATGTCCTATTGCGGAGAAATTCCTTCAACCAAAAGCCAAGTTTGTGTCAGGTACAAACAGTAAACCTGAATTGTCATAGCACAATGTTTGATTCAGCAATGTCATTGTTCTAGGAATGACTCTGTCAGTTAAATATTTAAGGGCAACTCTCTTAATACATTTAAAAACCATTAAACATATCTTGAAAATAATTCTTTGATAAACCGAATGCCTGGGAAGAGAAAAAAGAATTGGCTTAACGTGATTGTATTTAAGGCCGCCCGAAACCAACCTTGCAGCCCAGTCAACCTTGCAGTCTAAACATATTTGCACCAGACAGCTGCAATAGTCTATTTTTAATTGGATAAATCCAATGAACCAAATTAGTCCATTTTTTGCAAACATACATATGCATTCACAAACATGTGCATAATCAATTAATACAAGTTTTTGAAAGAAACATAAAGAGTGAAACTGCAATTTGCGATATAAAAATGATTTTGCCAATGAAAACATTAAAATATTTACCAATAATAATTTAATAACAATCAATACACACACATACACACACACACACACATATATATATATATATATATATATATATATATATATATTTGTACATATATAAATATATATATTATATATATATATATATTTTTACAAAATTCTATAAATTCTAAAATTGCACTGATGATGATTCATTCGGAATCGAAATATGACTTTATTTGCAGCAAGAATTCGGAAAATAAGTTTATCTTGAATTTTTGAATTTTAATAAACTAAATGTTCTCCAAAAAACTTTAGTGAGAAAATCAAAAAAACGATATATATATATATATATATATATACAAGCTTGAGTATATATATATATATATATATATATATATATATATATATATATATATATATATATATATATATATATATATATTCTATATATATCTACAAATGTTTGGCGTATATATATATATATATATATATATATATATATATAT